TAACACACACAAGTAATCAATCAATAAGCAATATCAAAATTAATCCTTTAGCAAGTCAAATCAGTGATCCATTTAATCGTAATCGTAACCATATATAAGATATCAAGACATAAGTGTAGAAAGAAATAGAAAGAAATGACCATCGATTCCTTATCGACTTTCATTCATATATACTGCAGACAAAACAATATCGCGATTCAATTATACCGCTAGCGCCATCTATCGAAAGTAATTTATAACAATAGAAACCTGATTTTTTAGGTAAGCAATATTTAATTAAGTTATACAGTGTGCATTATGTATACATGACAATATTTTATATACCTTATATATACATCAGTTCTTAAGAAGCCCCCCACACTTTTTTCACAATAATATTAATTTAAAAATAAATTAACAAACAATAAATGGTATTTTTGTGAAAAAAAGCGTGATGAGCTTCATATATCACTTCTTGAGAAGCGCCCCACGCTTTTTTTTTCAATAATACCATTTATTGTTTATTTTAAACAATTTAAATTAAATTGATTTCCAAGGTTGTAAAGGTTAAATTAGTTTCCACGCGGTTTCTTTCATCATTGGAGCGTGTTTTTTTAGTTTCTTTTAAACTATATTTATTTTTATTTTTTAGTTTCATTTATCACCGATTGATAGATGTACTCATATTATTAATTATTAATATTTCATTATTATGTATTTTATTGTGCTGAGCTGAGCGCCTATATAAAGGTTTTGATTACCTGTCAGTGAGTCAGTGCCAAAATTAGCTATTTTCACAGGTTCATATTTCAGGATCTACTGAAGCTTTATCTATGAAATTTGGCATACTGCTTTAGTACTAGTATATGATTACGTAGGTAAAATTTTATCTCTGTACTTGCAATAGGCACTGAGCTACAGGGGGGTCAAAAGTGGGTCGAAACGGTTCGTGTAAATATAGTGCACGGCATGCGCCGGCCTGTGGAACTTGGCCGGCGCACTACCGTGCGCTTAGATATCTATTTCATTTAACACTCGATCAAAGACATTAGTTATTATGCTTCACTAAGTCGACAGATATATTGTCTTATACATTTACCTTGTAAAGGCGATAGTCCGTAAGTTCAAAGGGTTGCCATGGGATGATTCCACATCTACGTGTCACTTGCTATTAAATCCCTTTTCAAATAAAGTTATTATCAAATTGATGTACAAGATATTAAGGTGTGGTTATAATGGGAAAATGCCAAATACATTTTATGAAATACAATCATTGTAAAATAAGATATACCTATATATACATGCACGTAGTGCCTAACATACCTTTTCTTAAACAAAAAAAATAATGTTTTTCATAAAATCATTATTAAATTTACTACACATTTCCAACAAAATATATCTCATGGTGCATTAACAACAACACTGAAAATTCTGAAAAAAATAAAAAAGAATTCATTTATATTTCATAATATATCAAGTATGCGAAACACATTAAAATTTTAAGAGTTCCGGGTTAGCATTACTATATAGATAAAGTATCATATAGAGCGCTGCTTACTCTACGAAACAAACGCGTGTTCGTGTGTATCAAACATTAATAAAATAAAACAAAAAACGTGATATTTTTAAGAAGCTTCGGGAAAATTATGTACTCTTAGATATAGGATCTAAGTTTAGTTCTGCATTTGTTATTCCATGTCTTTGTGAGTTTCGTAATTTTTCTTCAACTTCTGTTACGACGTGAACCGCACTTCGTATAATTTGAAACTTTTAACGTTATAAACAGACAAAAATATTTTTTAATGTATTTTATAATTATATAATAAGGCTCGATTTCTTTTTTTTGTGCAAAACACGTTGTTAAACACTATTTATACTGACTATTATCACAAGAGGGAATAGGAACTTAATTTTGTTAGATATTGTTGCGGATTTTGATAGTATTTAACGAGGAGATATTAAAAGGCGTACATTAGTTGCAATGATAATTTTATTGTGTTACATATTTTTATGACGGGGTAAGTAAAAATTTAAAATTACAATAAACAAAGCGCCTTACATTTAAATCGTTCCGTAACCTCCATATACTAAATTGCTTCACAATTTTAACAGGCGCTTGCGCCAACAGATATATGTACTTACTATTATAGTATTAATTTAAACATATAATATATAAGAAGAAGACAGATCATTATCTTTCGAGTCATCTGTACATAATTTTTAAGAAATTAACTTCATTGAGGTAAAAATTAACAGATATTTCTTGATTATAGGGCGGTACGAAGTCCACCGGGTCATAGGTATACGGTTTAAGATATCTAGGATAGTTTTTGAGAAAAGTTTTAAATTAAAAAATATTTATTTAAATAGAAGGTAACTATCAAGAGAACAATATACGGTAATATTAATTGAAATAATAATAAGCAGTTATAATATTTTTGAAGCTTTTATTTTACTACTAGTTTTTGCCCGCGACTTCGTACGCGTTAGTTTGGTCAAGAGTAATATATGTAGGTATAGCTGACCAGACGAAATCTATTCCGTCTTAGAGGCCATAAATAATCAGGTTTTTCCTGTTTCAATCAAACAGAATGATTGACATATTAGTTAGTTGTCAAATCTAATGTCAAAAAAAACGTTTATATGGGAAATAGAAAAGGGCTGTTTTTAGGGTTTTCCCGGCAATTATTCCAATTTTTCTCACCTTTTAAACCTTTCCTGGACTTCCAGGAGTATTTCAAGACTAAAATTAGGCAAATCGGTTCAGCTGTTCTCGAGTTTTAGCGAGACTAAGGAACAGCAATCCATTTATATATATATAGAAGATAAATATATGACACACAGCATTTCTATTCTGCGTTAATTATTTAAAAACTATTCTATTTATAAAAAGTTGAACTACAAATTTATTGTATAGGATATAAAAATTATTCAAGTTTCATTATAGTTATTATAAGTTAAATTTAGTTAAATAATGTTTAAATCTTTTTTTACATTATGGATTAAATTAATATTCAACAATTATTCACGTACATGCTTTATTATGAGCTAAATGATAGTATCTTAATGTGGTAATTGAGTTAACCGATTATTCTATCAATATTAAAATTGTCTTTTTTCTTTATATTTCTTTGCTGTATAAATTTATATTTTTAGCGAATTAAAGTTTAGCAACTTAAACTACTTAAAAGCTGTTAATACAGAAGGAGATTATCTTTCGTAAGCGAGGGCGCGCGTGCGAGTGTCGCCGTAGTGATGACGGACAAGCGTTACACAGCTAAAGTTTATGTGGACTGACGAGTGACGAGCAGTGTTTCCACTAGAACGATTTCTTTTTCCCACACTTCAATTCAGATTTCCCCTTCTACGGACTTTTTTCCCCTCAAAAATTATTTTGCTGTAGTTTTGACACCACACGCCACACCTAAAATTTATCGTTTATTTATCGTATTTGTGTTTTATTTACAGACTGACCAGAAATATAATAAAAACAACAAATGGAGTTGTATACTCATTTTTTATTCCAAATCAGTTAACGCTGTCAGCGCATACATTTTTGCACAAAATAATATTTTACGTCTCCTCCTCAAAACCCTCATTTATCTTTGATTTCCCCAATTTCCCCTTTTATAGTCTTTCCCCTTTTTTTTCCCTCTTGACCCTAATTTCCTAATTTCCCCTCAATGTGGAAATACTGGTGACGAGTACGGCGCACTGCGCAGTGCCCCAGTGATGCCAACTTTATTTTTTAGAGGCTCGTACTATACACTAAAAAAAAATATTATTTTGTCTTGAAATTCAAGGAAATAATTAATTAAATTTCAATAAAACTGCTTAAGTATATCAAATAAAAACGGAATTTAATTCTAATTTTCATTAACATTAATAATCAATTAATATGTGGAATTAAGATATTCATTAATTACATATATTTTGAAAACATAAAAAAAATGAATTGCTTTAGTCAATATCTGAATTATTAGGCACAGCAGATGCGGGAAAAGCATTATATTTTTTCTACATACTTAAAGGAGATCATTCAGGCTTCATACATTTTTGGGCCTTTTTTGAAAGTGCCGGCCAACAAAAAAAAATTGTACATATTTGTAGAACTAACCAGTTGGAACAATAGTTAATATGGCGCAAAAGTTGTAGGATCCAAGATATAGAAGTTATACAAGTTTCAAGATTCATCATTTTGGTACATTGGTTTTTTTCTGAAAGTGCCAGGAAACAAAATAATGATTGACATTGCTAGAGTTAAGCTTCTCAAGCAAATTATTATAGCCATAATCTGTTAGAAACCTGTCGTTTTATGTAATACTAGCGAACCCGACAGACGTTGTTCCGCCAAGTATCTGAACGCATGCAACACAATTTATTTCTTGATGATATACATATGTACATATTTGTCTAAACTAACATGTATATCGGAGTGCCATTTTTATATATTAAAATCGTTTTTATTATTTTTCTGTACCAGTAATATTGTTGTATTTTTACTAATTTTATCTTGCGATATTGAGGCATCTTGGTGAAGAACGAACTTCTTAGAAAGTTCGGTATGTATGATTCTGGCAGTCGAGTTTATTGCGGGCTAGGATAACAAAACGACAAAAGAACGTGCACAGCTGTGGCGCAAGTGGAACCTCATATTGCCAGAGCGATTATTTGGCAATCCTGATAGTCCGATTGAAGAAAGAAAGGCCATCTCTATACTTGATGGCACCTACATATATTTACAGAAGAGCACTAATTACTTTTTTCAAAGAAAATCTTATAGCAACCATAAGTTTCGAAATCTTTTAAAGCCTTTTTTAAATATTTGTTGCAATGGAACCATAATAGCAGTAGATGGACCATACGCTGCAACAACCTCCGATGCCCAGATTTTAAATGATGCACTAAATAATGTGGATAGTGCATTTCACTGGTTTTACCGGCCTGGTGACATTTTTATATTAGACCGTGGTTTTAGAGATGCTATAGAAAATCTGGAGTCATGCGGTTATGTGGCACATATGCCAGAAACAAAATACCAAAATGAAAACCAGCTTACTTCTGAACAAGCAAATAAATCTAGGCTTGTCACCATGTGCCGCTGGGTGGTCGAAGTGATTAATGGCCGCTTTAAAAGGGACTTTCGTTTACTCAGAAATATTCATAGTAACAGAGCATTAAGTAATATGTTCGATTATTTTAAGATCGCGGCAGCATTGCTGAACAGCTATCACGTTGTAGTAGACAATAACGTACACGCACGCGATTTCATTGACATAATTAATGAACGAATAAACATACCAAATCGTTTAGCAGATATTGTCATTACAAATAATTATAACAGAAGAAGAGCTCATTTTGAGCCTATGAGAGCCGAAATGCCTCAATTTAATGACTTTCCCAGAATGACAGAAGAAGAATTGACGCTATTCGCTTTAGGTAGCTATCAATTGAAGCAAGCCCGCAGTTATTATGCTGAACACGTACATCCAGAAGGGGCATTCACTATAGAACTCGCCCGAAATATCCCTCTGGAAGAAATTCGGGAGATAGCTGGACGAGATGTGTTATTAATTCGAGGCCGTATTCAATCAAGGCATGTCGCATCAAGAACCTATTATGTGTACATTGCAGCTGATCCAACACTTCGTGGAAGACTAGCTATTCCACAATATTATTGCTCATGCCCAATAGGCAAACGGACAATAGGGTGTTGTTCACACACCATGTCTATCGTGTGGTATATGGGTTTCGCACGGTATGAGAACATACTTGTACCAGCAGAAGGTCTGGAAGATGAAATTATAACTTTAGATGATGTATAGTTAAAAAACTATAATTGTGATGATTTTTGTAATAAAAAAAAAGGTGAATCTGTATTTGTGTTTTACTTAGATTATCCTAAAATATTTTTTAAGTTATACATAGAATGCAATATAACGTTGTTTTAATATATAAAAATGGCACCCCCCTATACATGTTAGTTTAGACAAATATGTATATCATCAAGAAATAAATTTTGTTGCATGCGTTCAGATACTTGGCGGAACAACGTCTGTCGGGTTCGCTAGTATTACATAAAAAACGACAGGTTTCTAACAGATTATGGCTATGATTTGCTTGAGAAGCTTAACTCTAGCAATGTCAAACATTATTTTATGTTTCCTGGCACTTTCAGAAAAAAACCAATGTACCAAAATGATGAATCTTGAAACTTGTATAACTTCTATATCTTGGATCCTACAACTTTTGCGCCATATTAACTATTGTTCCAACTGGTTAGTTCTACAAAAATGTACCATTTTTTTTTGTTGGCCGGCACTTTCAAAAAAGGCCCAAAAAGAATGATCTCCTTTAATTTGCTCAGCATATCGTCACATGGCTTGAAGTTTATACACGATCCTTTTTCTTTAATATGTTGTGCAGCTAACAAATTCTTATGTACCGTTTCTGGAATACAGTTTAGTTTAACATATTCCTCATAGTTACAGTATAGTCCTAAATATAGTTAGTTATAGTTATAGTACTAAAGTTTAGTTTTACACATTCTTTATAGTTTTATTGGAGATTTATTTTTTCGTAAGACTTCATTTAAAAAATCGTATATAATCTTACGCAAAAGATTTCGATAACTCGATCGTACATCGTACAAGAGTCAAAAAGGTCGTATAAATACATTTTAAATCGTACGGTTGCCAACACTGCAGTGCCCGCTCAGCTGGCCAGCGGCCGCTAGCGGGGCCAGCGGGGGCCAGCGGAGCTACAGGTGCGCGGGCCCGGACGACGCGAACAATAGACGCTGCGTGCATCCTCGCTATATAAATATGTACAATTTAATAAGAAGTTTGTGCGTCGCAAGAATTGAAAATATTAAATTAATTTTAATCAATTAATAAACAAAATGTATGTATAGAAATGGATATAAATTTAAATTTACAATACAACACATAATCTGAGTTGCTCCGCTACCCTCTGTTTGTATTCATGTTAAAGTAAACATATGAAACCTTTTCAAAGTATAATTTATTTATCACTTTTAGTTTTTACTTTATTCATATCTTCCTTTTGGTTCATACATTTGCTAGGTATACATCAATACCGCTTTTTTTCTTCACTTTGATAATAATCTTTCAAAAATTTATGAAAGCTCGGAGGAACAGTACAAACATGTGAAAAGAGTGATGATGCGCTTTATTTATTCATTCTCTCAACTTGATTGAGGTGAGTGAAATAGATTTGTGATGACATTAAATTAAGTAATTTATCCTATTTTAGTATGTTAAAAAAATTAGCTCAGTTCTGTCAAAGGTTTATCTATAAAAAATATGTAATATTTAAAATTTATTTAAATACTGTTATTTTATAGTATTTATTAAGATAAGATTTCATAGTATTTAATTATTTAATAGTACTTTTTAAAACAATGTGCAATCAATAAACATTTAAAAAATCTTGACCAATTGTACTTCAATAATTGAATTTCATTTCTATTTAAACTAAATTATTGTTAAATAATAGTACGAATTTAATGAATATAAAACCAATAATAAGGTCATGAATTTATTTCAACTTTCCCGCCTCAACTACACTCGCAAAAAAATATTCTGGTAACACTGGAAGCACTGATTATTTTGTATTGTTTAATGTCCGTTAATTGTCAAATGAAATGGAGCTCTCTGATTGGTTGGTAAACTGTTCATATATTTTTTCGCCATTTTATTATTGTTGAATATTGTTACATTGTCATTTGTTTTTCTAAGCACAAGTGAATAAGTTTTTATTAGTGAACGGTGAATTAATTTATTAACGAATTATGGAAAATTATGGCTGTGAGTTCTGTGCTTGTGATATGTGTTTAATGAAATTACCTAGTTAGGTACGAGTAGATTTTCAATATTGTAGTTTGGTAATAAAATTAAAATAAGTGTAAAGTGAAGGCGTGTGAGTTGTGGCTTGTGACCAGTTAAGATTGAACTAAAAGAAAGGTAATGTTATTCATTTTAATAAAAAGTATTATGATAGTTTTAATTAGTTAGCAGGTTGTGTACACAAAAATAAGTTACTTTGTTTGCTTTGTTTATTTTTTTTCAAATGATAATAATAAGAATGTTTGAATCTCCACTGGATATTCCTATTTAAATAACTTTTATAAAGTTGTGAGGAACAGATCGTAATCGTTTTAAGATACTTTCGTGGCTCAGAGGTACCTAGTTGAGAGATTCATAAAGTATATAGATGTTCGTTCTGATCGGCCTGCTGTAAGTTGTAACATTATGCGCGAATTTTATCAATATTTAAATGAAATTAATATTTTCTGATTTCTTCGCGTACATATTTTATTATGTTTAAAAACTACATATAATATCCGGGACGAATCTTGACCCTGTGCAGTAACAAATATTAGATGTCGTTTGATGTGCGGTCTGAGGCGAGGAGCTCATTACTACAGCAAACATGAAACAAGGCCGCCATTACTAGTAAGTAGTAACCATTGCAACGGGTGGATGCGTGGCCCCAAGCAGTGACACAATTTTACTAAAATGTCAAGAAAAAATAATATAGTTCTAAAAAGACAAGCTCGAAAAATTATTTAAGATGTTCACTGTTTTTTAATAATGCTAAAGATAAAATAATTAACCCGTTGTGTTTTTTACGTTCCTTCCCTTTAATATATTAAATATTTATTTTTAGATAGTACCTACGTGATTTTCGCAACGACTATACCTGCGCAGAGGACGCCTTGTTAGGTCAGGTTTCGTGCCGGGTAGTATACTTCCGACGTTTCGATTACTTTGCAGCAACCGTTATCACTACAGACATCTCGTCTGCCCGTTAAAAACAATAAAAATATTAGTTTCATTTCTAAATTCAAATCAATACTTGCGAAAGATATCATTATTATAAATGATTAGAGGAAGAAATGATGAAAATTGTTATTTTATTTTTCAAACATATTCTGTTTACCGTACCTTAAATCTGTACTAGGCACGCCACTGAACTGTCGTTCCTTACCTGGTAGAGATATCAAGCTCCGCTTGATCCCAGAGCAGTTTTTACATCAAGTACTTTTTAGATATGAAATATTTAAAAGAGTGTCTAGCTTTGAATTTTCATAATCACTAAAATCTCTCATTATATATTTATTTTTTCTATCTAATACCAACGCGGATTTCATGAACATTAAAAAGGTTAACTGATATCTATACTAATATTATAAAGCTGAAGAGTTTGTTTGTTTGAAAGCGCTAATCTCCGAAACTACTGGTTCGAATTGAATAATTCTTTTTGTGTTGGATAGTCCAGTTATCGAGAAAGGCTGTGGGCTATATAACATCACGCTACGACCAATAGGAGCAAGGATATAGTGGTAAATGTGTAAAAAACGGGAGAAGTTATTTCATCTTTGAAGCCTTGAAGTGAAAACGGTTCAAGATACACAAAAAATATGTATTAAAGAATAATAGCTCTTTTAATGATCTAAAAAACAGTCCTCGACAGTATATGTCTATCTTTTAAGATTAACTCACAAAAACCGTTTTTATGGTACCTAATTTGGTCGAAATAATTTGTTTAAGTTGTATCCACATAATAATATTTATCTTTATTCAAATAAACAAATAAATATGTTGTTGGTTAAGAGTACTTCATTATGAATTAAATAAAAACATAGGTTTTATCTTGAAAATTCTACGGGAACTCGACCATTCCGAAAACTCTCTTCCGAGACCATGTCTCACTCGCTCTGGAACGCATGTATAGTGCCCTCCGCTCATACTCATAGTTGAGTCATTTTTGTGTTTAGGGGATGTTTGGTCATTACCATTTGTCTGACTGATAAAATATAACTTTGTAATAATTATATAAAAATCAGACATTTAAAAATAAATTAAGTTCATTTATTTTTTGTAGAGCTTTAAAGCGTCTGACAAAAGTTCTGGCCCATGGAAAGAGTCAGATTTTTTTGATATTACTTCAGAGTATTATTCTACAAAATATATATAAAAATCAGTAATTAAAATTCAACTTAAGTAATTCTGATTTTTAGTTACCTTTCTCACCTGGTACCTGCGCAGGTGTCACCGAGCCAACTCCACAAGCGTACAGGTATTAAAAAGTACATGAGAGACTACTTAGAACCGAAAGTTCTATGCTTTAGAAAATAAGTTGTGTCTTATCGCTCTGGGATCTTACTCTAAATGTTTTGCCTGTAATTTAACTAACCGATGTAGCCATTAATGCCTTCAATTTTATGTGTTTTGTTGGTTCTTTTTTTTTAAATTTGTTTCGTTTAATTATATTTATGTTAGATTTTATTCATAACTGCCGAAGAAAGTCGTCAGTATACGTTTTTAATGTTAATTAGTCTTTTTTTAATTTTAATAATATGTGTCTAATTACCAATGGAAACTTTGCTGATATATGTAATTTTGTATAATTATATCCCATAAGTTTATCTTATTGTTTGTTTCCCTAAAATAAAATAAAATAACATACATACATTGCAAGTGAAATAATAACTATTAAAAGTTTTTGCATTCATTGTATAAGAAACAGTCACGACGGGCAGACGAGAAGTGTATGATATAAAATATATTTAGGCACATATTGATAATAAATTTCTGAATTTAATTTCGTAGCAACCCAAGTGCGAACTTGCGCTAAATACTTTATGATCTCTCAGTAAAACATAAAATCTGGACCGCGTTATGTACAGATTGTAAGTTCTAATCTTGTTAAATGTATGTAATACATCTATCACCCTTAGCGTGGTTATACATTCAATAATATCATATAATAAGTTTGAAATCACCAACCCGTCTTGAGCGAGCGTGGTGATTAATGTTCTAACCTTCTCCATGTGAGAAGAGGCTCAGCAGTGGGCTCTGATAGGCTGATGATGATGGAAACATCTCATATAATCTCCTATATTATGAATATGCATTGAATATATTCATATAATTATGATTTACCAGGTCGGTGGAAGACACCAAAGCGAGGTTGGCGGAGATGGAGCGAGCTCTGAACAGCACCGAGCTGGGTTCAGACTTGAGATCCTGCACGAGACTGCTGCTACTACACCAGGAGGGTACATGACATACTAGCTGTTTACTGCGGCTTCATGCGTGTATTAGGAATTACTCAGATGGTGATTAATGTGTATCTAATATAATGGATGTCATTGTGAGGTCTAAATTGCCTTATAGAAGAGTTTTATCAAAATCAGTTAGGATAATTTACTTGTAAGACCAACATATACCAACATATAACATACCTACTAGATATACTATATAAATACATATATATAGTACTAGCTTTTACCGCGGCTTCGACCGCGTGGAATAGTTACTTCCGACAGATTTTTGGTTTTTCCCACATAGTTCCCGTTCTTGCGGGGTTTTCGGAATGGTCGAGTTCCCGTAGAATTTTCAGGGTAAAACCTATGTTTTTTTTATTCACAATGAAGTACTCTTAACCATCAACATATTTATTTGTTTATTTGAATAAAGATTAATATTATTGATGTTGATACAACTTAAACAAATTATTTCGACCAAATTAGGTACCATAAAAACGGTTTTTGTGAGTTAATCTTAAAAGATAGACATACTGTCGCGGACTGTTTTTTGATCATTAAAAGAGCTATTATTCTTTCATGCATATTTTTTGTGTATCTTGAACCGTTTTCACGGAGCACGCAACGGAAGGCTTCAAAGATGAAATAATTTCTCCCGTTTTTTACACATTTACCACTATATCTTTGCTCCTATTGGTCGTAGCGTGATGTTATATAGCCCACAGCCTTCCTCGATAACTGTACTATCCAACACAAAAAGAATTATTCAATTTGAACCAGTAGTTTCGGAGATTAGCGCTTTCAAACAAACAAACAAAAAAAACTCTTCAGCTTTATAATATTAGTATAGATATATAGTACAGTAGGACCTCGATTATCCGGACTAATTGTTGTCGGTAGGCATCCGGATAAGTGAAAGTCCGGATAATCCAATATATGAAGAAAAACGGGCTTTTTGCATATGTACATATGTAGTCTGTACCATACATATGTAATGTTAGGTGTTTATTTAAAACAACAAATACATATGAGCGAAAATCAACGTTTATTAAGAAATTGTACATAATGTACGTATAAGTGTGATAAGTGGCGTGGCGTTGTGCAAGTTCTGACATGTTAATCTATTCATACAATAATAAAATTGTAGAAAAGTGCTGTCTGTACATTGAAAATAAAAATAAAAAAAATAACAGGGATTATTGTTATGTCGATGTCGAACCCAAAAATGTAATTAACTTTTTTTTTTGTTTCATGTCAATCGGTTCATAAATAAAAAAGTTATGTCAAATTAAAGAACTGAAGAACTGCGTTCAATATTCGACCGGGTGTGTCAATTGTATGTGGCTCTGTCCCGTGTTAGCAATCCCAGCAGCCTGTATGCTTTCACCCCCGATGGCCATACGTCTAATATTGTATATAGAGAAGAATTACAGTAAAGTAGGTTTTTTAGCTACCCAAAATGACTGTGATTATGATCCAAAATAAAAATAAGTATATATTTAAAAAAAAATGCTGCCAAAGTCACTATTCCACGCGAACGAAGTCGCGGGCACGGCTAGTATTAGAATAAACTCGTCGCGATTGGCAGTCCGGATAATCGCGAATTCGGATAACCGAGGTCCGGATAATCGGGGTCCTACTGTATTGCTTTTCAAATTATTATCTGTCGTAGTTATGCCAGCTAACTGATATAATTTGAGGTAACTGTCAGTGTGGGAGTGATGATGTGGTTTTAAAGAGAATTAGATTTTCGTCATATCACACAATTTTTGAGCTACAAGAAATGTATGATAAATCACTATATACATATATGTAAGTCATCAAGTGACTTATGAAGTGAAAATTTATCAGTTATTGAGTAGGATCAAATATTTATAAAACATGTATTAAAAATAGGGGTTGGTGATAGAAGAGTGATAATTAAGGGTTGTATGTATTTTATAATGCCACATTATGAAAGGTTGTCAAAAAAAAATTAAATAAGGTTTTAAAAGTGGGCCGCCCTTATACTTAGGGGTATGAAATATAGATAGTAGCCTATTGTTAAAATTATTGAATATGCATATAAAGTTTCATAAAAATTGGTTAAGCCGTTTGGCAGAAGTATGACATCTAACATATATATATGGACTTAAATCAGAAGAAGTTGTCATTATTTAAATTTGTAACACTTTCAATTAACCGAAATATAATAATACAGAGTAGGTATATTCAGCATTATCTTACAATTCCTCTTTAACCTACCAACAGGTCGTAGAACTCGAGTTAGACACATACGCGGCGATCATAGCGGAAATGGGTCACGTGGCGCAATCCATGGCTTCCGGTGGTCATCCTGAGGGAGCGGCGCTGGTCACCAGACATGACCAGCTGGCTGGCAGTCTGGCTAGGCTGCAGAGACTGGCTGCGAGCAGGCAGGCCGCGCTAATGGAGATAGTGTGTAGGTGAGAGATACTATATATATAATATATACTAATATTATAAAGCTGAAGAGTTTGTTTGTTTGTTTGTTTGTTTGTTTGTTTGTTTGTTTGTTTGTTTGAAAGCGCTAATCTCCGAAACTACTGGTTAGAATTGAATAATTCTTTTTGTGTTGAATAGTCCAGTTATCGAGTAAGGCTGTGAGCTATATAACATCACGCTGCAACCAATAGGAGCAAAGATATGGTGGTAAATGTGTAAAAAACGAGAGAAATTATTTCATCTTTGAAGCCTTCCGTTACGTGCGCCGTAAAAACGGTTCAAGATACACAAAAGATATGTATTAAAGAATAATAGCTCTTTTAATGATCTAAAAAACAGTCCGGGACAGTATATGTCTATCTTTTAAGATTAACTCACAAAAACCGTTTTTATGGTACCTAATTTTGTCGAAATAATTTGTTTAAGTTGTATCAAAATAATAATATAAATCTTTATTCACATAAACAAATAAATATGTTGTTGGTTAAGAGTCCTTCATTATTAATAAAAAAAACATAGGTTTCATCCTGAAAATTCTACGGGAACTCGACCATTCCGAAAACCCCGCAAGAACGGGAACTATATGGGAAGAACCAAAAATCTGTCGGAAGTAACTATTCCACGCGGACGAAGCCGCGGCAAAAGCTAGTATATATATATATATATATATATATATATATATATTCGTCGCACTACTTATAGTCAAGAAGGGCTATAAGAATTTGTAAATTTGTTTCGAGGTAGTTTAGAAACAGGAGACTGACGTAGCATACTTTTCATCAAGCGAGGTCGAAATTTAAATAAATAACTACTCAACAAAGACTTGTTATTTACTGCTTCTTAAGCGTTACACAGTAACGCCTTTCTATTCCTGAAGTTGGTTATGAAGAAGTTGCTGACAAAGACTAGTATATGTGTGTTATAGGAATATATAAATAGGATATCCTCTAAAAATATGTGTGTCTATCCTTAGACATGAATATCTGGCTGAGAGCGCTGAGTTGGAGGAATGGGTTGCGGAGCAGCAAGCAGCCGCCTCCAGTGAAGACTACGGACAGGACTATGAACACTTACTGGTGAGTAACGATATGTAGATGATGATGATGATGATGATGAGAGGCTGCTCCAGCCATCACACTTGGTGATGGAGACATTATTCAGTTATATCTTCAAATACTACGCTTTGAAACTTCACGGAAATCCGTTCAGCAATCCTATTTTTAGAAACTAACGAATGAATGCTAAATTTCGTTGAAATTTAAGTCAATTTGAGCATTTAGTACGTAATTTAGTGTTTTTTTTTATTTCTTGTATCTCAGAAGGATGTGCTAAGATTAGCATGTCATAATATTAAGTATACCTAAAGTTTAACAGCTTAATTAAAATATCCTCCAAAACCATTTAATTATATCTATAATCTAAGACATCATATTTCCCCAACCACAGATTCTTAGGTCCAAGTTCGAAGAGTGTAGAGAGTGGGGCGGAGAGGTTCAACCAGCGTGAGGAGCTGGCCAAGAAGCTGGTCGCCTCAGACAGCCCATACATCGCTTACATTGAAAAGTGACAGGAAGTACTCGGGTGAGGGGAACTTGGGAAATGACCCTTAATTACATAACATATAGGATCTAATACAGATATCCAATATGTCCACATAAACTTATACCAAACAAAATTAGTTTTAACCATACATACAGATATAGAATCTAAATAAGACATTCCACAAATGCAAATAAATTTGTACAAGTTAAAATGAGACTTAATGACTAGATATAGAATTTAATTTAGACAAAGAAAAATGAGACTTAATTACATACACATAGAATCTAATTCAAAAAATCCACATGTCATTTAAAACAAGGCAGAGTGAGACTTAATTCTATACATATAAGATCTAATTTACATAATCCACAACTCAAATACATACAATTCATACATTCCAGCGAGTCCTGGCAGTGTCTGGTAGAACAGATCCAGTCCCGCAGCCAGCGCCTGGTTGCTGCTGGCGAGATCCACCGCTCCCACCGCGACGCCGGGGACCTGCTGGCGCGGGCCTGGGCGCGCCGGGCACGCCTTCTTGCGGAACCACGACGCAGCCGAGAACGATATGGTCGCTATCGACGCGCAGATGCAGGTACTACAAAACAATTATTATGGTTAAAGATACTTTATTTTTCTCAAAAAGAAATTACATTTCACTTACTTGAGAAAATTATGACGATAAACATATTATGTATTTTAAATTAAAACTTCGACAATCATAATAAATGTATCACTAGGTAGTTTAACATATTCTTACAATGAATTTGCTTTAAACATGAAATTTAAAATATACAGTATACACCCTCAAAGCACCAATAATTGTGTAAAAAACAGTGATAAGAAATGCAAACTCATAGACACAGAATAACTATTAATATTGACTTATAATGAAATCTAAGATTTTCGCGAGTATTCATTTAAATGAAAGTAAAATTTTTTGGATGAACGTTTTGATAAAAAAATACATATTTCCGACGTTTTGTTTACTGACGATATGATAAATATTAGTTTCATTTAAATGAATACTTGTCAAAATCTATTTCATAATATCATAGCTCCTCACTTAATGTAGCCTAATTCTGCCTAAATAAGATTTTAACTGATTTTTGCAGTATTTTATAGTTGTAGTAATATATATCCTCGCCCAGGCAAGTACCAATGTGAGTTTTCCGAGTCATATGTACTTTCTAAGAATATTTAGACATCACTGATTAATGCATTCCCAATGAGGGTTGATGTCAGGCAGGCGGCCGGTCGTAAAAACAATTAGCCAAAACTATTCACAACATGTAAGGTAGACCCTGGCTAAAGCTGGGAAGTTGCCAGGTAGAAGAGATAGTTGTAGTGATATTAAATCTATTTCCAGGTGCTCCAGGGGAAGGATCTCGCCTCCAGCGGTTATGCCCCGGCGGTAACTCTCAGCAAATAACGCTGAGACAGCAGGCGCTCAGTGAGGCGTGGCGGTCACTGCAGGTGCTTAGGAGGAAACTGCTGCACCAACACCTGGAATTACAGACCTTCCTATCCGAGGTATTACTGTGGGATTTCACTATTATACAAAACCTTTATGATCTGATAGTGTGTTAATATATTGCTACATTTGATTAATCTATCTAATTTATATATTTTTTCTTTATATACTAATTAATTATATATTAACGATTTTACGCCTATAAATAATGGATCCTTTATGATATTTTATTTCCATTAAGACATTATTATCACTTATATGAGAATTACACTTATAACAAAAACATTTATGAATACACAGTTCGACATCGCACTTGTAACATAAATTAAATGAAGTAACGTTTAATTAAGAGATATTTTTCTATATTAAGCACTAATTTAATGGTTGTCTTGGTTTTGATTATTTATTATTTAATTTATACTATCTGCCTCGCAAACGTTGTTTTGTCATATCAAAAGTAGGGGTTGGTGATAAAAAAAATATTTAGGATTTTATGTATTTTCTTATGACACTTGATAAAAAAACAAAAATAAAACCTTTCGTCCAAATCAAAACAAAATTTAGGGGTGAACAGCCCCTATTACTTAGGTTATGAAAAATATGTATTGGCCGATTCTCAGAGCCTCAGACCTACTCAATATGCTTACAAAATTTCATGAGAATCGGTCAAGCCGTTTCGGAGGAGTACGGAAACGAACATTGTGACACGAGAATTTTATATATAAGTTATATTTATATCATGAATATCGTTCCCCAGCTCCGTGACGTCATCTAGTGTTCGTCATCCCTCCGCAGCGAGATGTCATCCTCAGCTGCCGCAGGCTCAGCAGCAGCTGAGGGCGGAGAGAGAGGCGCGCGACGACTGTTTCCAGGACGTACTGGCCAGGGGGCAGAGGTGACTGGATGAGGAACGTCCCAGCTCAGCGGTTAGTACACACTGGAACAATATTATAATATGAAAGACATGTTAGCAATAGTACCTTCTTCTGCCTTCCATGATGTGAATAGTGTTGGCTAACTGTTTTTATGACCGGCCGCCTGCCTGACATCAACCCTCTTTGGGAAGAAAAGTAATATTTCTTGTATTTACTTTACTAAGCGTTTATAGTTATTTTTTTATAACGTACTATCGATATTTCATGTGCATCACGAGTAGATTATAGTAAAAACAAAAAATATTAGTAACATTTCAATGACTACCCGTGAAAGTATATCTCATGAGATAAATATGTTCTGATATGTATAACCACAGGTAATTCTGGTTCATTAATCTCACTATTTAATACTAATTATTTCCAGGAGATCGAGGAGCGTTGCCGCGCGGCAGGTGGCGTTGGAGCAGCTGATCGACTGGCGCTGCTTCCTGAGAGACGATAAAAGTGAAAAGAATATTAAAAATATCCGAATACACTAGGAAATGTAAAAATTAAAACATAAAATAAAAAGGTTAAAACATGAAAGAAAATTAATCGTAATTAACATTTGTATATTTTTAATTTTATTTTAATATTTGAAAAGGTTAATTTTCTTCTAAAAATAATCAGAATAATCAAAAATATTTATCGAAAAGTTATTAACTATTGCGCCTATCTTAAGATAAAGTTGTTTAAAAACCTTTGTTTCATATAATTTTATACCGTTAATTGACGATCAAGTTAAAAAGTTAATTCCCAATTTGTATGTCTGCTTTGATCTGTATATAATTTATAAAATGAAATTAAGTTGTTATTTGGTGGAACAAAATATTTAAAATTAAATTTTGCTAAATTTGGAATAAAATATTATTGAAAATATCTAATAGGTATGAACATAATGTAACAAAACGTTCTAAATGACTGCAAAGAAAACACAAAAAGATTTTAAAAAAATATGGGCGTTTCATACTTTCGGATTATCTCAATAATGAGCAAATGAACAATGAGCTTTATTTGTAACAGTAAAATGTTGAGAAAGAGATTATTGAAAAATTATTGATATTAATTAGTAGACAGAGGCTGTTTGAATACTGATTAATGTAAACCGAAACACCTAGCTTTGTTCTCCTATATGCTTTGTATGATCTCTGACAACTTCATACTGTTTTGGGATTTCGTACAATCAAATCATCCCGACCCCTTTTGAGCGTGATTTCAAAAATTAACACCAGGTAAAATGAGCCCACACCCGACATATTCCGGTATTTGGAATGCGTACCTAATTACTTATTGCAGGTTCAACTGGCCAAAGTATTATAAATATATCATACGAAGCATAAAATTTTTAATGCTGTACACAATTGCTATAAGAATGTCCTAATCTATGCGTACAGTGCAAGTCTATTAATCTACCATTATATATATCGGCGCTATCAGCTTTAATAACGGATGTGAAATGAAAAAAAAATTGAGGCTGTCATCAATTCTTATTAAACCTCATTAGTATTTATGATTATTGTTAAAAGTAAAACGAAATCAAAGATTGTTTAAAAGGAGAATAGAACTATGTTTAAATCTTGGTACAAATATGACGTCTGGACGCACGACGGCAGAATTAAGAGTTCAGTGAGTGCGTATCATTGAAGTATGTAATTATGAAGAACCTTCGAGAAATTCAGGAGCATTAAGAACAATTGAAGTTTCATTTTAAAATATCATGGAACGTACTAGAAAAAGTGACATTAGTAACGTCAGCGAGGCTTTCTTTAAAAACAACGAATTTGTAATAAATCCGATATACATATAACATTATTCAACTTGTATATCTAATCAACTTCTTTTTCATTCTTATCATCATAGAGTTTTTTTTTTGCTTTTAGTAATTTCAAGTCAAGTATTTTTTAAATATGTAAGTACATTTTTTTTGGATTATTTTTAACTTTACTTTTCCATTTCAATCATATTTGGTATCTTATTGCTTAAACGAACAAGTTTCTTTAACGTTTTACATAAAGTAATCCTCAAATGGACAAAAGTTTCATTGTTTACATTTATTAATAATAGTAGAATAGCCATGGACATGATAAACCTGCTACTTTATAATAAATAAACACTTGATCAGTTGTCTATAAAGGGCACAGTAGATTATCAATTAATATGGAAATAACAAACCTTTTTGAATTCACCAAGCTGTTAAGTTAAAAATTATGTTGGTTAAATATAATTCACATTGACATCTCATCTGCACTTGATCACGGTTGCTGCAAAGTAACCGGAACGTCGGGAGTATGTAGATATAAAATAATAACAAACGAGAAGTAATCCGAATAATATTAATTTCATTTAAATGAATACTCGCGAAAGTCTTAGATGTCATTAAGCAACATAATTGTTATTAAACCAATATACCTAAATTCTGCATCAGCTTTTAAATTAAATATATGTATTATTTCATTAAAAACTTTCATTATTTCTACTTTAACTTTTTTATTAATGCAGACGGTTGATGAATAAGGCGTTTTACAGAGCAGGGAAGGACAAAGTGCTACATAAATTCTGGCAGACTTTAAATAAATTTTGTGCTGGATTTTTAACTTGTTTCTGATGCACCCGTAAAACAAAGAGTATGTATAAATTTAGTCTTCATTGTTTTAAATTCTTAACTTCGTTATTCTGCCATTTTCACATCAACATATGGTAAAATATTTGCCCTGCAAATAACAACATTATAATAGATAATTTCGTGTAAAATTATCTTTCCAACTATTCCTAGAACTATCTTCTTCTACCTGGCAATTTTCCCAGCTATAGCCAGGGTCTGCCTTACATGTTGTGAATGGTTTTGGCTATTTGTTTTTACGACCGGCCGCCTGCCAGACATCAACCCTCTTTTGGGAATCAACATTAATCAGTGATGTCTAAATATTCTTAGAAAGTACATATTATTCGGAAAAATCACATTGGTACTTGCCCGGGCCAGGATCGAACCCGCGCCCTCGGCAACGAGAGGCGGGCCCTTTGACCACTGGGCCACCACTGACCAACTATTCCTATAACTATGTTATTATATAATATTTGAGGGATATTATATTGACTAAACTATAAGAAATGAAATCATTATTTAAGTGAGAAATATTACGTCACACTTTTAAATAGTAAGAAATGTGATTGGAGACAGTATTCGATAATTTATTTAACAGCCACTTGTTGCAACAAATGCGCTATCAATACCCATTCAGGGAAAAGAAAAATACCTAATAAACTCAAACTCAAATAACTTTATTCAATACTAGCTTTCAGTCCGCGGCTTCACCCGCGTGTAGTTCGGTTATATCGCGTTTCCAAGAGAACCTTTCAAAAATCTGGGATTAAAAACTATCCTATGTTCTTTCTCAAGGTCACTCTATCTCTGTACCTAATTTATTAAAATCAGTTCAGTGGTTTAGGCGTGAAAGCGTAACAGACAGACAGACAGACGGACAGAGTTACTTTCGCATTTATAATATTAGTAATACTTTCAAGTAATGTGGCGTTGAATAATGAATTGTACTGGGCCAAAATAACATCATTGAAGATGATTCAACTTTGATGCCTTTTAATATATATTATAGTTTGCAAAAAATAATAGAAAATATAGAAAAGAAAGCTTGTTTATAAGACTAAATTAATTAATTAGTTTTACTGCATAACAACGTCTTTCATGTGAATGGGTTTTGAGACTGCCTTGTATGGGGCTCTCTCACTGTGTGGCGACCGACGATCGACGGCAGCGGCGGAGATGCAGATTACCTATTCGTTAAAAAGAACTTTAACTTCAAAAGCCAATTTTTTTAACTTGATACACCCAAAACTTCTAAATATGATGTTCCTAAGTTCAGTGATTAAAATTGTGTATAAAAAAAGTTTAGCTTCGTAGAATTCCGTGTGTAGAATATCACCCCTACGGTGGTAAAAATAACAAACCATTTTAAATTTCAAAAACGCTTGAACAAATTGTTTTTTTTTTATTTCTTATAAAGTTTCATGTTTTTATCCCAATAAATGACAAAATCGCATACAAACTTTCAACCCTTATTTCACCCCCTCACTGGTTGAAATTTCAAAAACGCTATAACAAATGTTTAAATATATCCTATCATGTGCCTAAATATAAAGTTTCATGGTTTCATCTTTTGTAATTAAGAAATCCCATTCAAACTGTCAACCCTTATTTCACCCCTTCACTGGTCGAAATTTCAAAAACGCTAGGCCAAATGTTTAAATATATCCTATCAAGTGCTTAAATATAAAGTTTCATGGTTTTCTCTTTTAAAATTCAGAAATACCGTACAAACTTTCAACCCCTATTTCAACCTCTTCAACCCTTTTTTTCGCAATAAAAGGTAGCCTGTATTTTTCCCAGGGTCTAAAAATTGTCTGTGCGAAATTTCATCAAAATCGTTTGAGAGGTTTAAGCGGGAAAGCGTAACAGACAGACAGACAGAGTTACTTTCGCATTTATAATATTAGTTGTGATTGACCCCCCCCCCGTACCCCAGTGATGCTTACATAGGGCCTACATCGCATGCTGGCTAGCTGAGCGCGATGAGCTTCAACCACGCGACTTTTTTCTAATACTTGCATTTTGAAACTCGTGATATCTTCCGAATGAAATGTCCGAATTGAATAATTCAAAGAGTTATAAAAAGGTATTGAAGCCGTCTTGAATATAAAGTAATTTATTTTGATAAAGATTAATACCAAGGCACGAATAAAGAGCCTTTTGAAGCGGCGGCATGTAAATTAATTTTTTAGAATAATAAACCGCTTACTGTGACATAACTATAATATTTAGACATATGCTGTCGCGACACTTTTTGTGGATGATAATGAGTTCTGCAAAGTCGTAGTAAATGATTTGGTTCTATCATCAATAGTTTTCGCAGCGCACGCGACGTAAGGAATTTTTCAGATCATTTTTTTACACCTTGGGTTATATTATTGGAGTTTTAGTAAGGATCTCTAATTTCTATTTAAATATAATATAGCTTATATTACTCGGGAATAATGTAGCTTTCTAAAGGTGAAAGAATTTTTGAAATCGGTTCAGCAGTTTCGAAGCCTATTCATAACAAATAAACAAACAAATCTTTCCTCTTTATTAATATATAGATAGAAGCATTACCCTTTCTTATTGATGTTCACTTGAGACACTACCACCGGTTCGGAAAAGAAAATACCCTGACCTGAGAAGAACCGGCGAAAGAAACTCAGCGGGTTTATTTTTTTTTAATGTATATATATATATAAATTTATCTCATATATTATATACACCATTTAATATGAGATGAAATAGCCAGGAGGCGATCGTTTCATTCCCAAGGTGTGCTATCGTTCTTAAACTCATTAGTTGTATAGTAACCTTTTGCACACAAGCGTTCCTTAATATTTTTTTTTAAATTTAGCAATAGAGGCATTTTGAACGCTTTCTGGGATCCTGTTGTAAAACCGTATACATTGC